AATTATATGCTATGTATATAAATGCAATTATTATTATTATTATTATTTTATTTTATTTTTAAAAATTATTATTATAATTATTATTTTAAATATCGATGACTGTTGATATTCCCAAATCTTTGGGAATGGCATGTTCGCGGTGGACTCATTCTTCCCAACAGTTTGGAAATAATAATATTATTATTATCAAGATCCAGGGAGTATTAACAGAGACTCTTACATAATATTAGAATTTAGAGTCACTGGTCAAGAATAGTCAAAATTCATATTCTTAAAAATCTTGAGTAGCTTTTCATGTTACAGTACAATTCATGCTATAGATCACGTTATAGGAAAATGTGTCAGGTTTAATTCAACTTCCATGAAACAAAAATATTTTTCTTGTTTAAAAAATTATTTTGATATTAATTAGTAAAGCTATTTTCAAAACATTTTAAATTCTTCTCATATTTTCCCAAATGATACTTATTTTAGATTTCACCATTGCAAGCAACTTCCGGTTTCTTTTTTAGTAAACAACCATGGAGGCTACAGCTTCATCGTCTTCGCAAGGCAATAATGAAGGTGAATTTGTCTTACCAAAGACAAAATCAAGGAAAAGAAAACAGCCAGATATGGACACATCCGATATATCAAATCCTTCATCAAAACGACCTCTTTTCAAACCACTGAAAGCGGTTGCTGGAGCTGTAAGTCGACGTAACTTATGAACTACTCAACTTTGACTCTGTCACTATGAACATGTGGGCAATGTGAGTGGGTGGTAATCTATTTTTAGACTCTGGAAACTAGATAGATCTGTAGGCCTATCTAATCTAGATCTATCTAGGGCACTCTGAGGGATAAGTAGTCCCAGCCTAACTCCATTACTAGATCTAGATCTACTCCTTGCCTTAGATTTGATTAGACATTTTATATGCAAAGGCCACCTCTATTCTCACCCCGGGTGAGAATAGCGCAGGCGAGTCTTTTACTTTTGGCTATTCTCACCCGGTGTGCGTTCACTGTTAGATTTAGATCTAGGCCAACCAATTTTGCGTTCACCCTAAACCACAGAATTCTACACAGCGATAACAGAAAAATTGAAGAATTCTGTGCCGTGAACAAACGTTCCATTACTACTGAACTGTTAGCCTACTAATTTCTAAAATAAGCATGCAATTTTGTCTGTGGGCAGTGGAGAGAGAGAGAGAGGAGTAGCGCGAGAACTTCCGGACAAAACAAAATGGCGACCCGCGTAGTTCGGCTCGATTCGAAAAGTTGAATAGCCGTAGCATCTTTGTAGACGACCAAATTAATTTACTTTTGTCACTTTTGTGTTTTAACATCATTTTTTAACTTTGTTTTGGTCAATTTGATCGACCACACCCATAGACAGTATTCAGAGAGAGAGAAGAGGGGAGGAGTAGATCTTGCGAGAACTTCTGGGCAAAACAAAATGGCGACCCCCATAGTTCGGCTTGATTCGAAAAGTGAAATAGCCATAGCATCTTTGTAGTCGATAAAATTAGCTTACTTTTGTGCTATAACTATAACGTAATCTTTTCTTTGCCCTTATCCATTTGATCATCCACATCGATAGAAAGTATTCCGAAATTAGGAAAAACAGGTCTTGTTTCACACCGGGGGAGAATAGCCTACGGTGGCAAGTCTCACCCGGGGTGAGAGGTCGATCGTATTTCTATTCTCACCCCGGGTGAGAATAGCCACTTCCATATGCAAAATCGGAAACAAAAACAGAAGTCGAGTAAAAAAGCTGAGCAAGTGGCCAGGGTAAAAAGGCCTTTGGAAATTGCCTTCCCGTTTGTTTACATGAGAAACAGAAGTGATTGAAAAGGACAAAAGTGGCAATGTAGGCTAACTGAACCCTACCGCATTAACCAGTAGGCTAATATTTTTGGCCAGCTCTATTCAATTCGGACTCGAGTCCGAATGTGGGTTTTATCTATTCGGACTCGGGTCTGAAAAATTTTTTAAAAATTTATACGGACTCAGCGTCTAAGTGAGATATGTGAGTGTAAGGAGGTTACATTATATAAATGTCGTCGGAGGATTTTATATAAAACTAGAATTAGAACTAGACTTGCCCACTAGGACTGTGTAATTGTGTCAAAGGACTGCACTCTCATTAGACTCATTATATTAGATCTACCCAATGGCTGTGTCTAAGTAGCCTACACTGTAACCAACAACTCAGGGTCTTTCCACCACCACTATAGCATCATCATTACTTCCACCACCATTTGTCTTTCCACGTGTTTAATTTCATTTTGCTGTGTGTTATAGTTTTTCTGTAATTATTATTTTTTTTACGAAGTGACTATTCCCAGTTTCTGAGCCTACTCCCAGTGTTACATCCCACAAAACCGACAGCTGTGGTCTCTTCCTTACACCTCTTCCCCCTGCAAGCCAAGAGTGCGAGATCGCTTTGCGCAATCTCATTGGTTGACATAATTAACTTTGCCCCCAGCAAGGTCAGCTCAACTTAATTGTTCTGTTCATACTAATGATGTAGGGAGGGCCAGTTTAGATTGATCTAGATCTAGTAACTGGATATTAAAGCTCACGTCTCGACTGTTATTATAATCGAAAAAAAGTTCGTACATGCTGGAAATATTTAGGAACAAAAGTTGGAACGGACGTCATGCTGGACTCATTTCAGAGTCCGAATATAATTTTTCACCGTATCCGAATAGTCACTTCAAATAATTTATTTTTTTTGTATTAAAAATTTATTTTGGCCAGATTGAACTTTGGTGGACCCCCCGTCTTTACGTGTTTATTAATTATGCACACTAGCCTTAACAGTGGGGAGTATAAAAAATAATAATATATAAAAAAACACAATCTTCACGTTTACATAGCAAATTATCAATTAGAACGGGAAGGCAATTTCCAAAGAACACCAAAAGGCCATCGGTAAAGTCATAGAAAAGGTCCAAACCTATATAAGACTTTTTTTCGGCGCTATTGTAACGTTTTTTTAGTGTGCTGAGAACAATCTTGGCACTAAAAACTTTTTTTTACTCATGCACCCATCTCATGTTCACGTTTTAACCCTCATCCTGCGGGGGCCGGGTTTATGTCGCCCGATAAGCCTATTTTGGCTCCTCGCCTTCGTTCTGGTCCCGAATCAGTGTAGCCCCTGGCTCAGGGCACGCGCATCATCTTACGTGAAATTCGGGTCCCGAGTCGGATCTCCATTCGCGCAGGTCAAGTGTGTGTACGTCAGTCTGCTTGAGTTTGTATGCGTTTGTGGCCTTCTTCTAGAACCGCCTGCGTTGGTTCGTAATGGAGGCATACGTCTCATTCAAAACACGCCAAGTTGGTAGCTCTAGATGTTCGTCCAACGTAATCAGTTGCTGATAAGATTCGCATCTCAGCAGCACAGACGCAGGACAAGAGTTAAAACTGGCAAATCAATTTTTTTTTCTAGAAAATTTCAAACATAACTGCCAAGCATCAAATTATGAGGTAAAGCAAGTTGGTGTGCCCCCTGCACCCCCCAGATTTTTTTTTAAAATCTCAGGAGGGCTGTAGATTTATTTAAAATTACAGGGGGCCTGCCCCCTTGAAACCTTGAGATTTTAAAAACTTATAGGGCTGAGAAGGGATTGTATGAGATAATCAAGAGAGTGGGAAAGGTCGCATACTATTATTATTTATATAAGCTATTCTTTATGGTCATGCTGTTTTTGAAGTGTGTGCTAACAAAAGTTTCTGTTAGATGAAAATATTGCTGTTAAAAGAGGTTATTTACATTGGAAAATTCTGTTACACATGCTTAGGTTTGCCGGAGGTTGCTCTTATCTAGGTTGCTGTTAAATGGATATAACTGTAGTTGCTTTTAGTCAGGGTTACTGTTTTAGTGAAGCTTTTTTTCATGTTCAAGTATCACATCATATTATTATTCTTTAAGGTTGTGTCACTTTTTAAAAATATGTTTCCGCTTTGTTCCAGGGGTCCAAAGGAGAAGTCAGAAGGATTCCTGTGCCACCTCACAGATACACACCTCTTCAGAAAGACTGGCTCAAAATTTTCACTCCTATTGTGGAAAATTTGAAGTTGAATGTTCGTTTTGTGGCTAAGAAGAGACAAGTGGAAATAAAGGTGAGTTTAGGTCCTTTTTTGCATTGATTCTTATCAGATTTGTACAGAGATGTCCCTTCCGGGGAACCTTTACTTCGGCTTGTCTTTTCTCAAACTCTAACATTAAATTATTTAGTGGCTCTTCAATACAGAACTTTTATTCAGTAATCGGATGCAAAATTTCTTAGTAGCAAGGTAAAGCCACCATGTGTCTTTGTTATTTTGAATTTTTTACTGATCTTTCTTCATAATTTTACAATTTCTTGGCTGTTCATACATCTTAAATAAAAGTTTTGAATAAGTTATACATAGTATTGGCCCAAGCTCTCAGGTCATGTCTTTGAAATGATGTAAGTGTTAATAGTGTTCCGTTGCAATTTTAAACATGGTTATCGTGAAGATAAATTTATAATGCCAGCCATAGGTGATTAGATTTGTTATTTGTAGATGTTTAAAAACTCAGTTGAGGAATCAAGTCAATGCCAGTGGCAGAAAATTTTTCAAGAAAGATACCCTATTGATATGGCTAAAGTAGGTAAATTCTGTTGGCCTTGGACTTTCACCAGTGTGTACTTTCATTTTTTTGATCAGCCTGGCAAAGAGACAGATGATATTGGGGCTTTGCAGAAGGCAGAAGACTTTGTGAAAGCTTTCATTGTGGGTTTTGATGTTGATGTAAGTATTTGTGCCCTGTCTTGAGTGTTAAAATAAGATAAAATAAATCTTTGTTGCCCATTCGCTGGAACATTGGTTTAGTTTTGTACCATGCCTGCACACACCTTCATACTTTCTTACACATACATTCACACATAATATCTTACACTCTATCAAACAGACCCACAGTCACACGCATATGATGTAAACGAACATTTTTGTGGATAGTAATTATGTTTAGGCTAGATACATGATCAATCTTCTGATAGATTGATAGTATTCTGATAGAACACACTTTAACTTTAGCGGTCAAAGAAATATATATTTTATAAATAAGATGGTTGGAGTGTAATGACTGGTGATAAGAATGGCTTTCTGAATCTCTCTTTGCTACACAGCAGATGCATTTGTCTTTTACTTCTGGTTGATGTTTTGATTTAAACAATCAAAGGATGGTTGTTTTTTTTGCCCAAGAAGGTAGAATCAATATTTCATTAAATTCATCAAAATTACTGTTTGACATGAAATTTGAAGGCAAAGCTCTTGCCTCAGTCACTGTCTTTGTCGTCAACTGAAATACAAAAGGTGTATAATGTTCATACACGTTTTCTGGGGGGGTTAGTGTTCCAAGTGTTGGTCAGAACACAGAGTTTTTCTCTTCTTTTTTTTTTAATACTCTTCATCAAATGAAAATTTAGGGTTGCTTCCAAGACAAGCTGGCTTTATATCAAGAAAAATCTACAGTTCTTTCTTATTTAATTCTTTTTTTTTGACAAAGAATAATTCTCATGGTTTTTGCTTGTTTTTTTTTCAGGACTCCTTGGCATTGCTTCGTCTTGACCATCTGTATTTAGAGAGTTTTGACGTCACTGATGGTATGCTCATTACGTGTGGAATGCGTTTCGTTTACATATTTCCAATCGTCTGCTTTTGCAATGAGTTACAGCATCTGAAGAAAATAACGACAGAAAGTCATTAATTTGTTGAAAGAAGACTTTTTCATTTTACTTTTCTACGAATTTCTGTGTAGGAGTCTTTTATGGTCTGCTTTTTTTTTTTTTTTTGGGGCATGTGGGCTTTTGATAACAAATTGTCCAACGGTTCCGGCTTTGGACAATAGTGATGGCAACAAGATGATTTATGAGATAAATATTAAGAGAGATTTTCTTTTGGTCAGAACACAATGTGTACTGATTATATGTTACTGTGTTATCGTAAAGCACTCAGAGCCGAGCCCATATATGTTAATCAGCGTTGAGCTCTATAATAATGCCATATATTGTAGTTATTATTATCATTATTTTCAGTTAGTCTCTATCAGCTTCCTTTTTAGTGAATTCCTTATAGCATGTATTATAGTTATTATTGTCATTATTATTTTCATTTAGTCTCTATCAGCTTCCTTTAATGAATTCCTTCTTGGTAATGTGCTCCACAGTGAAACCTCTGAAAGGTGACCACTTAGCTCGTGCCATCGGCCGACTGGCAGGGAAGAATGGCAAGACGAAATTCACGATAGAGAATGTCACCACGACAAGAATCGTGTTGGCGGACAGGTGAGATACTTGCAAATACAGTGTCCAAGACAACCACCATTGTCAGGGGAGGGGAGGTGGCCATCTTAGACTGGGGATGTACTCGGGACGGTCAGATGAAAATGAAGGAGAAGAAACCCCTTCTCTTCTGAGGTCACAATCGGAGGTGGTCACAGGATTTGGACGGCTATAACTCCCGTTGAAATGGGTTGGAGATTTAAATGGTTTTTAATGCTTCGTCCACAGCTAAAGGGCTATAAGAGTTAAATTTATGGCAATTTTTTGAGTCATGAGAGATTTGCATTGTTGTCTTGGGCAGGTTTTTGAGGCTGTTCATTGATGAAATGTAGTGGCTGTGATCACGTTGTGCAGGTGGTTGTTGTGGATATTGTCATTATACAGAGAGAAAATGTGGGTGGTTGGCGGGTGCTCTGGTGTAGTTTGCTTCTTCTTTCCTATCAAACAGCTATCGTGTTTATCTCCCCTCCTTCTTTTTTGTGTTTGTTACTCTCTTGTAACACCTCCGATCTTCGGCACTTATACGACCTTATTGTGTTGCAAGTGCAGTTAAACACTTACGAAAACTAAAAAGAGAAAATATACAAGGTGGGAAGTGTGAAGTGTTTGTTTGTACAGGCAGGTGCTGGAGCAAGTTGAGCTATAGCAGCATCTGTATTTCATAATTTCTAGATCATTTAAAAAATGCTGAATCTGCTGACAAACTTTCAACATCAATGTGCCACAAACTCAAAGGTAGCACAGCTGCCTGAGAAAACAAAAAAGGAAGTACACTGCTGTAACCTGGCAAAACACCTTTTTAAATTTCATTCATAGCTGTTGCAAGGTTAAAAGGCTTTTTGTCAGTGTAAACCATTTTAAAAAGGCGTTCTTCCGAATTATTACGTAATTCCATTAATAAAGTACTGTCATTATATTCTGACAGCAGAAAACAGGTTGATCAAATCACTCCCTATGTGTTTCATGTAGAAAATGGTTTAGTTCTGGAGTTTTAGATCTTACTTAAAACCTTGCAGAAAAGTTACACTTTAAAAAAATAATCTTGGCAAGCAACGAAAGCTCAGATTAAGTGAGCTTGATTTACAAATTGTACCCATATGTAATGTATGTATTTCTTTGCTTTTTCAGTAAGATTCACATCTTGGGCTCATACCAGAATATCCAGATAGCTAGGAGAGCTATCTGCAGTTTAATCCTTGGTAAGTATTATAATCTCTAAAGCACTGACCTCTCTGAGGAAGGTACTTAATTTTCTCACTGAACTACGCAATTCTTAATCTGTCTCATGATACTTTGAAGACTCTTATTATGTTCCAGTAGAATTGTAACTTGTTGCAGTTGCGGGAAGTCAAAGATTTTTTCCTCATTCTGAGCAAAATATTTATCTATACAGTAAACATATATTTGGATGAAACAAATGTGAGGGTTCTTCCATAACAGAACCTCTGGGGTTCTGCGTGCTTTGTTAGCTAGCATTATCATATTATGGGTTCTCCTGCTCTTTAGGGTCTCTGATATAACTTTTAAAAAAATAATAATTCACGAATGTAAATTATAAGTTTTGCATGAGAAACTCGTAATTTTTATTTTTGCACTCTAGTGTATCATCTCTTCTGCAAGTTAATAAGGAGTAGCTCCATTTTTTTTGTTTTGCTCGCTCAATAAAGCAGAGTTAAACTGCATTAAACATTTTTCTTGCTATATTGCATTGTGAACCTTCGATTTTATTTGAGGGAGGTTAGATGTGTTGAGGTCTGGTTTAATGTCGTCTTATTTTGTCAAGTTGAGGTTACGTAGATTTAGATTTCTAATAGGTTCAGCTATAAATAAAAAGGTGTCATCTTTTTTTTTTCCAAGGAAAAAAAATGTTTGTTTGTTCCCAGGGCTAGTGAAACATTCCAGTTGCTTCATCTATTTTTTATTCAATCGAGACAGAAAAAAATATCTTATATTGAGTGAGAAAATGTTCCTTGAGTCATTAATGTTTTTTGTGAAGGTTTTGCCTTTTGCTTGTTTTGTGCCATCATGCTTCCTCTCACTCTCATGCTGTTTCCATTTTTTCCATTTTCAGGAAGTGCTCCCAGCAAAGTCTATGGCCAAATGCGAACTGTGGCATCAAGGTCGGCTAACAGATTGTAGCGATGATATACTCGAGGAATAAACTTGTACATAGCAACCTAGCAGCCGACCTTCTGTTGTGTTTTGTTTTATGGTGTAATTTACCTTCTTTTCATTGGAAAATTTTAATATGTTTTGAGGTTTGTTGGGTGTTCATTGGAGGCTATTGCTATTCTGTAAAAGAAATTATTATTATGCTTTTTGGTCAGAGATTACTTGACTTCATGTTTCATGTAAGTGGCCATTTGGAACTTTGTTTCTGGAATCGAACATCTTGTTCACCTGACCATGGTCTTCTGCTTTTTAAAATCTGGATAACGGGGCGATGGGTCCCCTTATACTAGAGCTGGGATTCATGGAAACCGAGATTACAACATTAACAGGCTTTAAAGATGATATTAATAACTCCATCCTATAAATATGCCAAAAAATTGACAAGCGACTGATTCCACCCCATAGTAACACAAATGATTCCTTTCTAAGGTCCCATTTGGAAATGGTCTCGGCTCAGGCTTAGTACTGCCGTAAGGTCCTGTCATTGAAAAAAATTTCTTAGCGGAGAGATGGTGGAAATGGAGGCATGTCCCAGTTCATGTCTGTCAGTTACTGTGTGTGTGTGTCGATACTGTATGTCTTTCCATCTGTTTATGTGTTTCCAGGTGTTTGTTTATATGTTAAGTTTATGTCTACATTTGTTGTCTGTGTATGTATCACATACATATTTTTAAAAAAATGTAAATGTTTTAAGGCGCTCGCAACTGCATAAGGTCGAATAAGTTCACATTTTCAGTTTGGAGGAAATTAATTTTTATTTTTGCCCCGGTGGTGGCCAAAGCGTATTCTTATATTATTGATTTCAGGACCACTTAAGGATCTTTGTGGGTGGTTGGCAGGTGCTCTGGTGTGGTTTGCTCCTTCTTTCCTATCAAACATCTGTCATCCTTATCTCCCCTCCTTCTTTTTTGTGTATGTTACTCTCTTGCAACATATCTATTCTTCGGCACTTATATGACCTTATTGTGTTGCAAGTACCGTAAAACTTACTAAAACTAAGGATCTTTAACATGTGCAGCTTGCACACGGGACCTCCTAGATTTTTTCGCCCTTATACTTGAGAAGGCTATGTGTTGGATCTTTCTTACCCTAAAATCAGGGGTGTGGCTGAAAGACCGTAAGAAAGAACCAAGAAGTAGCAGTAAAAAGACTGCAGAAAGAGTCAGGAGCCCAGAGAAGGGGGGAGCGGGTGGAAGGATGGGGTAGAAAGGGGTGACGAAAGCAGACGAAAGAAAACGATGTTAGAGATCAGGAAAGGAGGTGAAAGAAAAACATTTCAGAGAATCACATTTTCCGTCACTGTCAGGTTTTGAAACCAGGACATATTGTATTGAATTAGAGGCAAACACATTAAGCTCTTAACCACGAGAGGTCCTTATTATGTACGTACAGTATATAATTAGACAGTAGACTGGTTTGCTGCTTATCATCTTATCAGCAACATAATATTATTTAACCAATCTCATCTTGTATTTTGGCCAATTAGTAAAAAAGAGAGCGCATAATAGATTTAATGCTGGGCAAAAAGCAGGACAGACAGAAAACGGGTGGTTGCTGAGGTACTCTGTGTGGTTTGTTTGTTCCTTCTTTCCTACCAACTACACAGGGACGTATAGACTATCTTTCCTCATTCTTTTTTGTGTTTGTTACTCTCTTGTAACACCTGTAATGTTCAGGACTTATATGACCTAGATCTAATTGTGTTTCAAGCACCATAAATGCTCACTAAAACTAAAGACGTACATAATTGAGATGTTAAAGAAATACATGTACATGTATGACCAACGAACGTTACCCTGGGGAAACAAATGTGGGTGGTTGGCTGGTGCTCTGGTGTGATTTGCTCCTTCTTTCCTATCTATCGTCCTTCTCTCCTCCTTTTTTTGTGTATGTTACTCTCTTGACAAATGCAGATTTTGGGACAACTGAATAGACATAAGGGTCTTGAACATCTAGCTCTCACTGTCAAAATTGAAGTCAAACGAGGCAGGGGTAGGCCCAGAGCAACCTACTTGGGGAACCTGAACAAGTGGGTGACAGGGAAAGATCAGGGAAGCGTAGCTTTTTTAACAGCATTCGAGGGAATTAATTAATGAATGGAGAACCATGATCGCCGATGTCTGTCGCAGACCTGGCACTGGATGATGATGATGACTCTCTTGTAACACCTCTAATTCTAATCTTCGGCACTTACATGACTTTATTGTGTTGTAAGTGCCGTATAATCGGCACTTACATGACCTTATTGTGTTGTAAGTGCCGTAAAACTCTTTCTAAAAAAGAACACTCGCGTATTTTCGGCAGTCTCTAGAAGTGCCGGACGGAGCATAGACCCTTTTGTTCTTATCAAACTCGGTATCGCTGTAGTTGATTATAGTTGATAGGTGCCCAGCGTCGTTTCTGTCGCCACCTGGTACAGCGTGGTACGTCCCGCAGGATATTGAACATCTGTGGTGTCATGAGCTCCCATGACGGGCCAGTACGCAATGCAACGACGCATCTCGCCCTGGTCCTAGACAATCATTTACAGCTATCTCCACAAGCTGCTCCCTTCTGCGACTTTATACCACCGCCCCT